ATTTACATACTTGTAGCGCCATGCTGTGTTCATAACATATTGTCTTAAAACACCGGTTCCGATTTATCCAATCAAGCCGTAATACATGTATATAAATATTACACAATAACAACTTAAATATTCTACACAAAAAAACAATCAATTTAGAAAATAGATCTCGGAATTTAATGAATACCAAGATGATAGCGATTTTAATTAGAGTGAAAATGTGATATCATTAGAACTAGCAGAATCATAAAGTTTATCAGATGAAGAAGATACATGTAAGGTGAGGATGGTAGATGTTGACACCATTCTGACAAATGAGCAAGAATAATCAAGTAACAACAAATATTTACCAAAGCACATGAGATGTGCTAGTATACTAGCCTCTGAACTTGCTCGTCACAAGTGACATTCCAAAATTGATTAAAAATGGACGAGTTTTATATAAACAACAGTACTAGGGAGAAATGGCTAATTGTTCAAAACTGTGATCATGTGTCAGCCGAGTTCACAAGCATCGGATGCTGTGGAGACTTTAACTAAAGTTTCATTGAGGACACCAGGGAAGATTCGATGGAATTCAAGCTATGATGCTATGTGTCAACATGGCATCATAGGTTGAATTCATTTGTTTGAATACAATAGTTCAACCTACATAGAAACAACCTACATGTGTTTGAATACAAAAGTTTATCCAGAATCTATGCAATTGCATAGATTTCAGACAGCTGAATCTCACCCTCATTTGAAGTTGTAATGCGTTCCACAAGAAAAGAGAGACTGGATTAAAAAGTCTTCATAAAAGAGGCACAAAAAATCAGTTTAGCTGAAAGTTCTATTAAGTGTTTATAATATCTTGAAGTTGGTATATACACATCTTCATTAGCATGTTTGGTACAATATACAGTTGTTAAGAAACTTTTCAGAAATGTTAATGCAACTGTTTCATCGTCTGCTCCAATTGAACGCCTATTTTCTAAAGGAGCCTTAATTGCAGTGCTATGCCACAATAGGTTATCAGATAAACATTTTGAGCAATTGTTGTTGCTGAAATCCAACAAACATATAGATCAGATTTTATTGTCATTTTAAACCTTAGTTGCTTTAAATCACTTTTAATAGCCTTTTTTTTATTTTTCGCTTTCCAAAAGTATTTTGTATTTTAAATACTTTTATATTGAGTATTTGGTATTTTATATTTTAAATACATTCGTTTGAGTGTATTTTGTATTTGTATTTTAATTACTTTTTTAAAAGTATTTTTTATAACACAGTTATCTATCCAACTGTAATTTTGTTTTCACCAATAATGATCATCCAATTACATTTCTAAATATTTCATGTGGCGTTCCACAAACATTTTGTTTTCACCAATAATGATCATCCAATTACATTTCTAAATATTTCATGTGGCGTTCCACAAGCATTTTGTTTTCACCAATAATGATCATCCAATTACATTTCTAAATATTTCATGTGGCGTTCCACAAACATTTTGTTTTCAGCGATAATGATCATCCAATTACATTTCTAAATATTTCATGTGGCGTTCCACAAACATTTTGTTTTCACCAATAATGATCATCCAATTACATTTCTAAATATTTCATGTGGCGTTCCACAAACATTTTGTTTTCACCAATAATGATCATCCAATTACATTTCTAAATATTTCATGTGGCGTTCCACAAGGTTCTATTTTGGGACCACTATTGTTCTTGATTTATATAAAAGATCTAAATAAAGCCTCGAATTTAATAAGCATCATGTATGCTGGTGACACTAACATATTCTTTTCCAATAATGATATTTGCAAACTCTTTTATACTATGAATGATGAACTTAAAAGTATATCCAAATTGTTTAAATGCAACAAATTAACTCTTAACATTAAAAAAATAAATTGGGTTGTTTTCTACCCAGTCTCTAAAAAAGCTTATTTATCCCGAATTTAGCTTAAAATTTTTACTGATGATGTTGAAATAGAAAGACAAAATGTAACAAAGTTTTCAGGTGTTTTTCTTGATGATAACATGGAAAACGCATATCGACTATATTGGTACAAAAATTTCTAAAAATATTGGAATTCTATATAAAACCAGAACATATTTATGTAAAAAAAGTCTAACTCAACTTTACTACCAAGGGTTGAATTAACGCACCGCGATTTGCGATATCTGTTAAATTATCTGGTCTTCAAAGTTTCAGTTTATGGAAAACCACGAAATTTACGGAATAGGCGAATAAACTTTAATTTGTTAGTGAAAATGTTATAAAAAACAAAACAATAGATTTATGACTACAAAAGTAATAACACTACAGTGTTGTTACTTTTATAACACTCTTTTAAGTTACATTTATAGTTTATTGTTTGATCAAACAACACATAATCAAGGTACTATAAATAAAAATGATTTAGTTAAGTAATTCCAAACTTTAATTAAAGTAGTAATGGATCTAAAAAAAGATATTTAAACAATGTTAAAAACCTCAGCAACTTTTACGAATACATATTTTTATAAACAGTTTAGCATTTCTAAACATCTTACAAACGGTCCGGAAAAAACGCGCGTTCACTTTAAAGTCAACCAATGAAAACACTGGTAATTTACTTCTTAGAAGAAATCTATGTTAAAAGGGGAGGAGGGGAGGAGGCTAAAAACTTAAATTTTGTTTTATTATTTAATCAATTAAATCATAATAAAAGTAAAAAAAAAAAATATATTTCAAATATACTTCTTTATAACTAAAATTTATTAAATTGAACACCTCTGTTTTTAGTTTTAAGTAAATGTCAGTACTACTCTCAGTGGCGAAACTGCGGTGAGGGGGGGGGGGGGGTTAGCAGACAAAAAGTGTCCTATTTTTAAACTCATTTTAGGTTGCATGGGCGATATGGGGCTCATTTTAAAAATCGTGCGGGAGGTATTTAATTTAATAAATTTTAGTTATAAAGAAGTATATTTGAAATATATTTTTTCGTCTTTACTTTTATTATGATTTAATTGATTAAATAATAAAACAAAATTTAAGTTTTTAGCCTTCCTCCCCCCCTCCCCTTTTAACATAGATTTCACTTAAGAAGTAAATTACCAGTGTTTTCATTGGTTGATTTTAAAGTGAACGCGCGTTTTTTCCGGACCGTTTGTAAGATGTTTAGAAATGCTAAACTGTTTATAAAAATATGTATTCGTAAAAGTTGCTGAGGTTTTTAACATTGTTTAAATATCCATTGTACTTTTTTTAGATGCATTACTACTTTAATTAAAGTTTGGAATTACTTAACTAAATCATTTTTATTTATAATATCTTGATTATGTGTTGCTTGATCAAACAATAAACTATAAATGTAACTTAAAAGAGTGTTATAAAAGTAACAACACTGTAGTGTTATTACTTTTGTAGTCATAAATCTATTGTTTTGTTTTTTATAACATTTTCACTAACAAATTAAAGTTTATTCGCCTATTCCGTAAATTTCGTGGTTTTTCATAAACTGAAACTTTGAAGACCAGATAATTTAACAAATATCGCAAATCGCGATGCGTTAATTCAACCCTTGAGTACTCATTAATTCATAGTTATTTAATATTTAAAATTTAATAAGTTATTTAAATTATGCTAATATTGTATGGAGAAGCACTGAAAAAAGATTAAATGCCTTTATCGCCGTCAGAAACATGCGATCCGTTTAAATCGATACACTCATTCTAAACTACCTTTTATTGAAATGAAAGTTCTCAATATTTATAATATGTGTATGTGGAAAAATGACATATCTTCACCCGTTTTCAAAGATCTCTTTTATTTAAAACCAATAAATAAATATACACTTAGAAACAATAAATTTATATAACAGCCCTTTCGTCGAACCAAGTTGTCAAAAAAACCATTGTCGAACCAAGGACGTATTAATAGATGGACCACTGATCTCAAAATAATAACTGGATAGCGCATTCGGAAAAATTTTTGAAGCCAGTTTTGGCCTACCAAGATGGCGGCGTAGTTTGCCAACGATTATAGAAGTACTGTTTAAAAAATCAAGCGTAATCGATAAAGATATAATTTTAAACACTAATAAGTTTATTTTTTTTAAGAAAAAAAACAATTTTAAAAAATAAATAAATATATATATATATATATATATATATATATATATATATATATATATATATATATATATATATATATATATATATATATATATATATATATATATATATATATATATATATATATATATATATATATATATATATATATATATATTAGGTACGCGGAAATCCGTGTTTTACGGAACCGAATTTTGTACTAGAATTTTGTGCCAGGTTTTTTGAACTTTTGTTTAGGTAACGTCAGGCGAACGTTTTTTTGTGGCGTTTCTGCTTAGAAACATTACTAAACTTAGATTATTTTTGAAAAAAAGAATAGTTAAACTTGATTTATATATAATATTTATGTGTGGTTGGTAATTTTTGTTTTGCTTTTATTTGTATTAAAAACTTGGTTGTTGTTCTAACATTAAATTATTGTTAAAGAAATGCTCAGATAGTTTGCAAACCTACCCAGATAGACCCAGATAGTAATTTTTTTTTTTAAATAAAATAAATTAGTGAAAATATACAAACTAATATTAATTAATATAAAAAATCTAATAAATTACTGCAAAAAAAAAAAAAAAAAAAAAAAAAAAAAAAAAAAAAATATATATATATATATATATATATATATATATATATTTAGATATAGACAAATTAATATTAATTAGTATAAAAAATCTAATAAATTACTGCAAAAAAAAAAAAAAAAAAAAAAAAAAAATATATATATATATATATATATAGATATAGATATATTAATACAATTAGATATAGACTTCCAATAAGATGTTTTTTTCTTTTTCTTATTTTTTCAGTAGTTAATTAGATTTTTTATATTAATTAATATTAGTTTGTATATTTTTACTAGTTTATTTTATTTTAAAAGTGAAAATTACTATTTATTTTAGTGTGACTTGTTTAAAGTTTCTAAAATTTTATTGGTTTCATTGAAATTGAAAACATAAGCGTTGATTACTATAATTCTAGCTATAGGTATGATGGTATTTTAAAAACAGTTTTTCCTTTTTATGTAAACATTTGCAATGTATCTTTTAAATTTTCTTTATATTATCACATGTTTTATGATGTCAGTATACATTGGCATTTTTGTCTGTGTGTATAAATAGTATTTTTTAATTACGCAATAATACAGTATTATTGAAAATGTTTTTAATAATAAAAGTATAATATTGTTTATAATTTAATGTTATATTATTATTCGGTAGTTATTCAAGACTTTCTTTACATTTTTTTTTTAAATAATGTTGCTTTTTGTGCCCCGGCAATGGGCACAAAAAGCAACTTTAATTTTTGTTCTTAGTACAGTTAAAGAGTATTTAAATACACTTCTTTTTACCGGCCAAAACTTGCAGTTGTTGTAAAAATAGATATGTACCTTTTTTATTCATTAACAGTGTTAAGTCATTTGTTATAACTATTATTTAGTTTAAATATTTGTAAACCACATTTCTTTAGGGTTTTGAAAAGATGCAAAAGTTGGTTTTGCAACTTTACAAGGGATAGTAATCGTTTTAAGGAACTTTGTAATGAACCCTGTATATGCATTGCACAAATCTTGCCCGTCTTTCTATCATCATGTCCCTCCAAGTAGTTCTCTTACTACTGTTTTAAGTAGTTTAAATAATTCACTTACTTGTACATAAGTAATTTTTCTCCACTAAATCACAAGCCTTTATTTTCCAAACATTTTGTTAACAATGAATAGGCATGAATAAGAGGAGAAATAAGCCCTAGAAAAAAGAGGTTTGAATATCAGATCGTCCTATTTAACTTCTCAGCTTGCTGTTACATCCAGCAAGTATTGAAAAAAATTAGTAATAATGACGGCAAAATTAAAAAGCATGGCCTACAAGTTGAAAGTACTGAGGCAAAAATTACATAAAAGAAACAAATTGTTAAAGTTTTAAGAGCTGAACTTAGAGATCTTAAATAAAATTTGCAAACATATTATTACAGTAAGATAATATGCAATCTTAAAGCTTAAAAAAAAGGAAATGAAAATTTAAGAACTTTAAAAGCTAAAACAAGTTAAAGTTGTACATAATATTAAGGCAAATTAAATGCTTATAGCTAGTTACGAATATTTGCTTGCATATATGTAAAGCAGTTGATCATCTAACTTTTATTTAGATTTTCATTTAGCATCTTTTAATGACAGTGATCAATCGATCATCTCAAATATATCAAACGCAATGTCAGGCAAAGTTGCAATTAACCATTTACCATAAGCAAACTGTGTGACATTCAAGGGAAAAGTTTGAATGAGCTAAACTGCCATTTACACGCTCTTGATATAATTGCTACCTCATGGCTGGGTATGATTGTATGGCATTTAAAATAGTTTTGGCTATGAACAAGTTGAGGTTTAAACATGGCAAAGGTAATTTAAAAAGATTTGTTAGTTTTTAGTTGATCAAAAACTACCACGAGGTATCATTCCAAGGTATCAAGGAAATCGTCTTCATATTTTTTTTTCATACTTGTTTTATTTTTATTAAAAATTAAAAGAGTTTGAGCATGTTTTTACCATTTAACATTAATATGTTTTATTATTTGGAAAACCACCTCCTCAAAGTCACATAAAACTTTGTCATTCAGTTTCCAGCCTGGATGACAAAGTTTTGTGTGACTGTTGAGGAGGCAAATTTTGACCATTATAGTGGAATCCTGGTATTAAAAAATATTTTACTAAAAATTGCAGATTCTAAATCAAATCCAGGTTCACTTTTTAAAATAACCTTGAACCAAATATTTTAGATCCAATAAAAAATGTTTTGTTTGATTGATGAACACTTTATCAATATGACTTTTGCTTGTCTTATTGCATTGGAGACGTCATAATTCATCAATGTAAGAGATATTTCTCACTTTCTATTAACCAGACTCTCTAGGAGGAAGTAGCATGTGCAAGGCTTCACGATATAAATAGTGAAGAGTTAATGGAAATGTTTAGTGAGGCTGAAGAAAGATCACCTAATGCATTAGTTTGTTATGTTTCATACAAATTAAATTACTTAGATAGTTTAGATCAATTATCTAGAGAAAATATAGTTATGTGGTGGATTCAGAAACCCATAAAAATGTAGATATGTGGTCGATTCAGAAACCCATAAAAATATAGTTATGTGGTCTATTGAGAAACCCATAAAAATATAGTTATGTAGTCTATTCAGAAACCCATAAAAATATAGTTATGTGGTCTATTCAGAAACCCATAAAAAGAGGTGATAAATCAAATAAAGCATAATGATATATGAGTAGATATTTCAAAAAAACATGTATGAAAATGCCAAAAAATGGATGAAAAAGACAAAAGAAAGTTAAAATGACAGTTGCTTAAACTCTTTTACAATGAAATAAAGTGCTTAAATACATTGTCTATCAAACAACTTCATGACTAAGATGATGTAATGTCAGATAGAACTGTTCGGCAAAAACTTTGCCATGAATGGTACAATAGTAAGTATTCGAAGTATGTCGTGTATGATGGTAGAGAAGAAAAACTTGATAAAACAAAACAAGACAAAGTTTACACAATTTCTTACTGGAATATAGGTAATACTGATACTGAAGCTGTTGACTACAACATGAAAAAATTTCAGCTTCCGCTGATGTTGGACTAGGAGAGTTGATTTTTTTTTTAAGTGTAATACGTAACAACTTATGATATTACTTGTAATGAAGCTTTAAAAATAGATACTGCAAGTGATAAAACTTACAAAACAGATACGGCATATGATGAAACTTGTATAAAGGTATTGTAAGTAATAAAACTTGAAGAAGTAGTCATATCAAGTCAGGTATGCCTGGTATTAAACTATATGTTTTTGTTTTACTTTTTTTTATAAATGTTTTTAGAGAAGAATAAAAGTATTTGACTTGCAATGACCTTTGCACAAGTGTTGTGACTTGCAAAATATTTTGATAGGCAGCTCTGGCTTATCTTCACGTGGTGTCTATTGTTACAAATGATTATTATAGTGTTCCATTTATGAAATTGATTATTTTAATTATTTACTAAAAGCTAAGACAACTATTTAAACTTAGGATATCTAAAATGTTTTAATACAGAACAATATAAAATTGATTGTTACATTTTTTTATAGGATACAACACTGATATTTTTGGTAATGAAATAAAATAAATTTAATGAAATATCAAAAAATGAAATATACTAATTTATTTTGTTTGTTAAAGATACAATTATTTTTAAGAATTCAACATCTTTTTATTGTAGGTTGTGGGTAACCATTACCACCTTATTTAACAAACTTCTCAACTTAACCAAAATTTACGAATAGCAGCGAAAAGACTTTTTTTTCAAAAGTAGGCTCGGTTGTGGTCTTTATCTTTAGCTTGTAGGTTATACTTGGTGCAAAAAGCCTAATTCAGGTTTTAAATTGTTAACTCATTTTAAAATAATCATAATTGTTATTATAAAAATTTATTTATTTTACTTATTTATTTTTTTAGGTTGGGGGGGGGGCACACGCCCCTTCCACAAGTTAATAAGCACACCACCATTAAATGAATTTCTTGAAGC